GACCTCAGCGACCGCGTTTGTGCGGCGTTAATGGAAGACGCACGTAAACATTTATATCTATACGAGCACTTTCAAGATTAGCAGACAGAAATCTATGAAAACATATGGCTTACGAGATACTCCGCATATACGTACATTGCTAGTGTATCATTAATGACATGTGTAGGCATATATATATATATATGTATATATATGTATATATATATATATATGTATATGTGTTGTATTTATGGGTAACACCGCTATGCATCTGTACCAGGTAGACGGACAAGCTTGCAACATAGCAAGACTCGTCATGGACATTCTGAGCGTTGTAGGACATATTACAACGCTAATGCCATAACATCAAAGAGAAGCAGCAAAATCGGAAAGCCGGAAGTAGTCAAAAAGCATGATGCATGGCAACTTGAAGACAATGTGGTTGCAGAAACCCAATTATGGAACCAGGAAATAGCACTGAAAGCCAGATCCTCTAAAGTAGATCACGGGTTAAATCCATATAAGGGATGATGAGTGCGACATCCAAGTGCTGAAATAAGCGAATGCCACGGATAGCTTTGATAGGGCTGCATGATGCCCTAGCCATCCCCGAAGCCAAGAATAATTATTGACTCGCAAGCCGCTTCGAGAGGACATGATGGGTGACAAACCCCAAACCCTAGAAGGAATGGCTGAATCCTCAAAACTTTATAAACCACAAGGCACTAATGACTTCGCACATGCTTAAGCATCCGTCAGGCAGTCTGCAGTTTAAGATTCTGGTTTTTAAATATAATATACAGAGCATCTATAAGACAGTGCTGGTATTTACATGCAATTGCATACATGTATGTAACAAGCACGTACACACACTCATGCTGCTTGGGTTCAAGCATACCAATAGCTTTGGGTCGATACTATTCTAAATACAGTTTTATCTATCCAAGATCAACAATTTGAGCATGTGACTGCTGTGGGTCAAGACCCCGTCAAATTACACATGTCGTTGATATTGGACTGGGCCGATACCTTTCCGAGTTCATGTCGTTATTGCGGGCCAATAACCCTGCAAATTCAGTTTGTTGTTCTTGAGGGTCCATACCCATCTACATTTAGTTTGTTCTTATTGCATGGCGATACGTATCAGAATTCAGTTTTATGTTATGGGCCGATACCCATCCAATTTCAATTTGTTGTTCGTGTGGGTCAATACCCATATAAGTTCAGGTGTTGAGGTTCGATACCTTTCTAAACTCAAATTGCCGTATCGTGGGTCAATACCTCTCCACTTGTACTTAATGATATCGGAACTCTATACCAACCTAAACTCACGTCTTGATATTCTGGGTCAACAGCCTTCTCATTTGACTCCATTTATTTGGGTCGTCACCTATCTAATTTATGTTTTGTTGGCTATAGGTCAATACCCATCTATGTTAATATTCGTGTTGGTGAAGCTCGACAAGAAGTAAATTCCATGATCTGCTGTGGGGGCCAATGCATGTTCAAACTCAGTTTTGTTGTAATTGACAAGATAATAGTAACAGCAAAAACACGAGGGAAAATTACTAGTTCCACCAGAAATACACACCGCCACGGCGTCCCAGACTCTTGAATTAACCCTTTGAAGATACCCTTAAGGGATCCCTATTCTGTTTGGTCTACTTGCTGAGGCCCCTGCAGCAATCCTTTTCATATGAATCATCATATGTTACAAAGCAGCCTACTTAATCTAACTAGTTAGTATGCTCTAGTAAATGTAGTACATTTTAGTGAAATAAGGTATAACGGTATAACGTGCTAAACATGAGCAGGAGTTAACACAAGTTAGCACAACTAATCGTAGTCTCTTTAAACCCCAAACCCCAAACCCCAGTTTTTTTATGGCCACATAGATGACCCTAAACCTTAAACCCTACAACATAAACCCTACACCCTAAACCCTAAACCCTAGAGAAACCCTACACCGTTTACCCTTAAACCGTAGAGGAACCTACACCCTAAACCCTAGCGAAACCCTAGAGAAGCCCTACACCCTAAACCCTAGCGAAACCCTAGAGAAACCCTACACCCTAAACCCTTTAAGGCCACGCAGATGACCGATGAGCCGTTCTCAAGTTTCAGCTTCGATGGTGTAGTGGGACTCTCGGCTCGGCGCCGTTTAAAAAGGAAGCGCAAAACTCAAGAATTGGGGGTTTAAAGGTTCAGGGTTTAGGGTTTAGGGGTATAGGGTCTTCGGGTTGAGGGTTTAGGGGTTAGGGGTTCAGGGGTTCAGGGTTTAGGGGTTGAAAGCTTCATTGTTTAGGATTCAGGGTTTAGGGCTGTGTGGTCTTGGGGCTGCCAGCCGTAGCAACCCAACCTTTCGCAAGTGATTGCCTGCCTGCCTGCCTGCCTGCCTGCCTGGGTGGCTGGGTGGCTGGGTGGTTGTTTGGTTACACCTATGTATATACCTCCACATATACACATTGACATAGATATACCTGCAGCTCCCTTGCATGCCTCTACTTAGGTTCTATTTCAGATATGTGTTGGGTTCCGCTCCATGTTGAAAGCCCTAAACCCTGAACCCTAAACCCGCGCAGGGGGCTTGCATTCGGACATTGGGTCTTGCAGCCTTCGTAGAGTATCCGAAATATCTTTTCTGGGTGATATCTGTACCCGGAAACCCACACCCTAAGTAGCATCTTCCGCCCACTACGCGCTCATTTTTTCAAGAAGTCGTTCGAAAATTTCTGATCCACTCCTAAACAAACCTGACAGGGTTAAGGGTTTAGGGCAAACCCTAAACCCTAAACCCATAAAGCCCTAAACCCTTAACCCTTAACCCTTAAACCCTAAACCATTAAAGCCCTAAATCCTAAACCCTTAAAACCCTAAACCCTTAAAACCCTAAACCCTTAAAACCCTAAACCCTAAACCCTAAACCCTTAAACCTAAGCTGCTCTTTGCCGGAAGTCACCCAAGGGCTCGGGCTTGGAGCGTTGGCTGTGGAGCCGAACTTCAGCATCTTTCAACAGCTGACGAAGACGCCCCGGCTTATGGGCCTAGAGTCTCCAACTTTAGGGTTAGGATTTAGGGTTTAGGGTTTAGGAGTCTCCAAAACTCCTTAATTAAGGAATAGTCCATAAATCTTAAAGGTCCTAATAAGACCCTTCATGTGATTCAAAGGATATATGGGCCTAGAGTCTCCAAAACTCCGTAGTTAAGGAATATTCCTTAAATCTTATAGGCCCTAATAGGAGCCCTGATGTGATTCAAAAGATATTCCTTACTACTTCAGGGGTTTTGGAGTCTCTGGGGCATCTTTGGGGGTTTGGGGGGCGGGTTGTAGAGAGTCGTAGTTAGGGGCCTTAGACTCTGGAATTGACTGCGCGTTGTTTAGTTTAATGGCTTAGAGAGGGCTCTGGGGTTTGATAGAGGTCGCAGGGTTTATGTCGATGCTTCTAGGGTTCAGGGTTTAGGGTTTCGGGGGCTCTGTTTACCTGTTCTGTAAACCAAAATGGAACCCACAACTCCAAAACTCTACTCGAATTATTGCGGCGTAGTGAACCCTTGTTGCACACGTCCCGATTCTGACCCTAAACCCTGAACCCGACTATCTCGCCTATGTTACAGCATACAGTCCTTTAGCTGCGGGACTCTCCAGCATTCCATGCTAGTAGGGTTCATCGCTTAAAGGGATTAAAGAGGGCTTGAGGATGACACGGCTTAGCGATTAGTGTAGCTTTAAAGAATAACGGGCAGTAGTAGAATTTGTGTAGAGGCAGAAAGATGTAGTAGAGCGTAGTAGTAACTCTAAACCCTAAACCGTAATACCGAAGAGACGCTAATTGTAACCCATACCTGCGACCCCAATCCCTACAACGTCGGAGCGCAGGGGTCCATAAAAGAACATTTCCAAGCCTGCCGAGCTTTCGGGGAGTTAGGGTTTCGAGTTTCGGGGTTTAAGGTTTAAGCGTGCTCCCACTCCCTAAATCGAATGCATTAGCCCTAAATGCCTTGGTCCCATGGCTTTTCACCAAAGCCTCCGCACCAAACTCCGCTACGTCCAAAGTTCAGGGCTGAGGGCAAAGCAGTTGAACAGAGCATGTGTCAAACATGATTCCTCGCAAAAGCCACAACATGTTTGCGGTTCAGGTTTAGGTTTTAGGGTGCTTGGCTTCAGTGCTAAAGTTCAGGACTTCGTAAGTTACGGTTCAGGGTGGTCGTGCTTGCAGTTCAGGATCACCCACTCCAGCTTCATGCCACAGTTTGCCTATTTCCTGTCTGAGCACGATGACCTCCCAAGTGAGATCAGCTGCTCGGAAAATTCTAATTATAAAGGCCCCTACATTAAGCTACAACTCCTGAACCGTCCAAACCCTCAGCCCTAAGCCTTTAGGGTTCAGGGGTTTAGGGTTTAGGGGTTGACGGTTTGGGGTTTAGGGCTTTGGGTTTAGGGTTTAGGGGTTTAGGGTTCAGGGGTTTAGGGTTTAGGGGTTAAGGGTTCAGGGGTTTAGGGTTCAGGGTGGCTTCTCCTGGAAACCCTCAAAAACACAAAGCTCAAGGCCCTTTCGTTGGACAGCCCTAAACCCTGAAGCCCTAAACCCGAAACCTCTAGACTCGAAACCTAAACCCCCGAAGAACCCTAAACCCTAAGCCTCTATACCCGAAACCTAAACCCCAGAACCCCATACTATAAACCTCTAAACCCGAAGCCTAAACCCTGAACCCTGAACCCTAAACCTCTTTACCTAAACCCTAAACCCTCCTAAATCCTATCAGCCCCCCCAAGCCCTCCAAAAACCCAAGAAAAGCTCAGAGCCCGCCTCTGTGTTTAGCACCCCAGGCTTCGGCCGTCACAACCCCGAAACCCTGCAGCACCCTAAACCCTAAGCGCCTGAAGCCTTAAACCCTAAACTAGGCTGTTTTTGGGACATTTTTGATTTTCCTTATTTGGGTTTATAAGGGACCCTATATATAAATATTGTTGAGAGGGTTTAAAGGCCAATCCAGTAAATCCCTGAAGCCCTAAAACCCTACAACCCTAAAGCCCTAAACCCTAAAAACCCTAAAACCCTAAAACTCTAAAGCCCTAAACCCTAAAACCCTATAGGCCCTAAAACCCTACAAGCCCCAAAACCCCGTAAACAATAACCAAAAGCTCAGAGTTTCACCCCTTCTATTCTTGTATTGAGAATCCAGGCTTCGGTGGTCACAACCCGAAGAGGATGCAGTCAGCGCTTCGGTGGGTGCCCGTCTTCAAGCCGGAGCTGCTTGTCATAAATCTGGGGATTTTAGGTGTCATAAACCTGGGGGGGTTGTGGGATTTGTGGGTTGAAGTTCAAGGCTTGGGATATTTCTGAATTTTTGGGATTTTGGGGTTTAGGGTTTGGGGTGTCGTAAACAAGGTCGTAAATATGGGATTCTAGGATTTTGGGCTAAGGGTGTGGGGTTTAGGGTTTAGGGTTTACATGCTAAGTGGCGCTTTGGGAAACTCTCAAACTCCCCTCATGTTTCCTATAGAGGTACCTATTCATAAATACTTGTAGGGGCCCCGACACTACAACCCAGTATAGGGAATCCGCATTCTGGGGTTTAGGGTTTGGGGTAAGGAGGATTTAAGGCTTTGGGCTTAGGGTTTGGGACTTGGGGTTTTCGGGTTTAGGGTTTTTAAGGTTTTCGTTTGGGGTTTGGGATATTTCGGTTTCAGGGTTTCAGGGAATGGGATTTGATTAAGGCTTGGGGTTTAGAGGCTTTAGGATTAGGGGCTTACGGTTTTATGTCTTGGGGTTTAGGGTTTAGGAGTTGGGGTTCAGGGTTTGGGGTGTAGAAGGAATCCAGGGTTTAGGGTTCAAGGTTCAGGGTTTCAGGGTTTTGGGAACGTGGGGGGCTTCATGGGAGTTTCGGGGCAGCATGCCGGTTTTTGGGGGGGTTTGGGTTCCTTAAGCGCTTGTCGTTGAAAAGTGGCGGGGAGGGGAGCCTTTGGGTTCAGGTTTCGTGCCTTGCAACACCAATCCTCAACGTAAACTCTAAACCGTAATCCCTAAACCTTAAACCCAAACCCTGAGCTTGAACCCTAAAACCGAAACCCTGAACCCTTTAAAACCTAAACCCTTTCCCCAAACCCTAAACCCTAAAAGCTAAACTCTAACACCTAAACCCTAACCCAAACCCTAAACCCTAAAACCTAAACCCTTTAAAACCTAAACCCTCAACGTCAAACCCTAAACCCTAAAATCTAAACCTTAGGCCGAAAGCATTTGGCTTAAGGAAGTGATCTCAAGGAGTTGATCAGGTCGTGGGTTCCAAACCGGAGACTCCAAAAGCCCGTAATGAAGGTACGTATACCTTTAAGGGCTTTGGGTTAAGGGTTTAGGGTTTAGGGTCTAAGGTTTAGGGTTTAGGGTCTAGGGTTTAGGTCTAGGGCTTCGAGTTTAGGGTTAACGGTTTAGGGTTAGTTGAGGCTTTAGGGTTTAGGGCTCCGCAAAGGGATCGTTAAAGGGATCTGCAAGGAAATGAAGGAATATACAATAAATTTCAGTAGGATTCCTGCTGCAACTTGAGCTGCATTCTTTAAACAAAGGGTTCTGGAGTTTCTGGGGCGCGTCATTGTCGGGAGGCTGCCTGTCCACCTCATCATCGTTAGTAGTATCAGAATCAGAGCCGTCACCACTACTATTACCATTATCATGCTCAACGTCATCTAAATAAAACACCAGGACCACCAGCATAGTCTTGAGCAGCACCATTACCATGAAGAGAGCTGGTCAGTGCCAGCGACATCTTCGACAGGTTTGCAGCCCTCAGCCCGGGGTGCCTTCTTCCTCCAAGAGCCCCTAAACCCCAAACCCTAAACCCTAAACCAGGGTTTAGGGTTTAGGGTTTAGGGATACAATGGGATCGTCTTCAGCCTTCCCTGCTCCAAGTCAGACTACGGAGAGCCATGGCCCCTACGGTTTAGGGCTTAAGCCCTAAACCCTAAACCCTAAACCGTAGGGGTCATGGCTCTCCGTAGGCTTGATTTGAGCAGTTTTTGGGCCAAGAAATCCTAAAACAGCACGGAGCAGCCTCGAGCATGCGCCCACCCCTCCGGTCGCTTCTTCAGGCTCGGCTTTTGGCAAGTCCGCATTCTTCGGGCCAGCGTTGATGGCAAGGAGTCTCTAAACCCTAAACCCTAAACCCTAAACCCTAAACCCAAAACCCAATGCCTGTATTTAGAGGTCAGCGTCCGGGGCTAGATCTGACGACAGCCTCGCCCTAAACCGTGTAATGTGGAGGCCTTAATAATTAGAATGGGGTTTAGGGTTTAGGGTTTAGGGGTTAGGGTTTTGGGTTTAGGGTTTGGGGGTAATATACTATATAGTTATCGTACGAAGCCCGCATAAATAGTACAGGTAATTATCAAGGTCCCTAGATTATTGTACGGACCAGAAAAGACCCTACATAGAAGATACCAGTAAGATCCAGATTCCCCGGCCCGGAGCACGTGAAGGGTTAGAGTTTAGGGTTTAGAGTTTAGGGTTTTGGGTTTAGAGTTGCCGGTTTAGGGTTTAAACTCCCTAAACCCTAAACCCATACACCTCGAAGCCCAAAGCCCTAAACCCTAAACCCTAAATACATAAGGCTCGAAGCCCTTATGTAGACAGCCGAACACCTCTAATCCCAGATGGCCTGCGATCGAGTTCTAGTAGGGCTTAGGGTTTGGGGTTCAGGCTTTCTGACGGGTTTTGAAGAGTGGGGCTTAGGTTTTGGGTTTTGGGTTTAGCGGTTTTGATGGTTTTTGAAGAGTGGGGCTTAGGTTTAGGGTTTTGGGTTTAGGGTTTTTGATGGTTTTTGAAGAGCGGGGCTGAGGGCTCTGGGCACGAGGAGCTCGATTTCTGCCGCGACGGCGACTGCGTGGCCATCGCCGACACGGGCACTTCCCTACTAGGAGCCTTTGCTCATGTTGGCTCTAGTTGTAGTTTCGGGCCTACAAGGGGTATGGTATACATGACTATACAGTGCTTCTTGGAAATGTAAGCTTTACAAATGTAGGGCGGAAACAGAGTGTGGCCTAAATCCTGCAATCTTTAGGCCACGTCTGGCTTCTCTTTTCAAACTCCTGTCCCTTTATCGCAGCCCTATTGCTTGTGTAAGGGGAGTCCTAGGAGACTCGTCTGCTACTTCGAAGGTGTCGTTTGTCATTTCGATGATTATCTGTCATCTGTTCTTTATTGGTTTCATAACATGGTTAGTGACAGCATTATTAGTAGATTATTATGTGAGTTCTTCCTAGTATTATTGTATTCATACTTATTTGCAATGCTCATATTCTTCTTGTTATTGTTCATTCTAACTCCTACTCTTGGTTAGTAATATCATTTTCGTTATCACTCTCATTAGTATTATTAATATTTTTATTCTTGCTATTCCTCTTGTTATATATTAGCACTGCTGTCATTATTCTTGTTATTATTAGTGGTTATTGATAAAAGGAAGCCAGCCATAGGTTACGCTTGGCTGCCTGGGCAGCGATTTTTTCGCGGATTTGTTTGCATGGCCGTGCAGGGTTGTCTCGCGGATGTTCTTGTGATTTTATCGGGGAATTTGCCGCGGATATCCTTAAGATTCTATCTCCCTCAAAATAATCCGCGCAAAAATCCGCTCACAAATTCGCGTGAACCACCGGCCAACAATTCCGTGTGTCAAAACAAAAAATCCGCGCAAACCTTGCCCAGAGAGCCCGTGCCAACCTGGGAGCAGATGAAGAGTGGGTTCAGTCGAACGCACCCCCAAACCGTGAACCTCAACCAGGTTCGCTGTGGAAGGAGAGTTTACGGGTTTAGAGACCTTCATTCTCGAGCATCACATGAAGTGTCTGAACCCTAAACCCTGAACTCTAAACCCTCTGTTCGAGTAGTGGTGACTTCAGAAGGACATCCCACAGAGAGACTCTGGCACTCACCAGTCTTCCTCCGGAGGTTTTTAAGAAGGACTAAGGTTTTCCCCTATTGCCTTGAACCCTAAGTCCTAATGAAAAGGCCCCGGAAAGTGTTGCGAAGCCCTAAATCCCAAACCCCAAAGCCTAGACCCTATACCCTGCAGACCCTAACGCCCTCAACCCCCTAAGCCGTATAAACCCTAAGCTGAGCCCTACTTGGAGGTTCATGGGTAGTTATAAGTGGGGTTATAAGTAGGGTAACTATAGTTATAACCCATATTAGGGGACTTATAACCCTACTTAGCCCACCAAGGAGCTCCCCGCCAGTTCACTCAGCAGCTGCACCGCCTGCTAGCACGACGCGTCCCGCAGACGCCCGAACAGTCGGACGAGCCTTGTCCTTTCTTAGACGACACTTGGAGGGTCCCTTTAAAGGGTTCTATAGGGTTTACTGTAGGGTTGTGTTTTTTTTGGGTTTTGGGTTTTGGGTTTAGGGTTTACTTGGAGGTTCATGGGTCGTTATAGGCGGAGTTATAAGTAGGGGAACTATGGTTATAATCCATATTATGAGACTTATAACCCCACTTGTAACTACCCATGAACCTCCAAGCAGGGCTCCGAAACCCAAAGGGTTTGGGGTTAGGCCCCAAGACTAAGCCCTGAACCCATCCTAAACCCTAAGCTTAAAGGGTTTAGGGTTTAGGGTTTAGGGGTTTAGGACTTAGGGAAACACTGAATCCTAAGCTTAAACTCGGAACCTTTAACCCTCAACCCTAAGCCGTTTGGGGGGCGGTGAAGCCCTGGCTGAGTTCTTAGCTATAAAAACTGTAGGATCGCTAACCCAGAGCGCAAGCCCCACTTGAGGATCCCCAAAACCTATTGTTTCAGTGGGTATGCCCCTAAACCCTAAACTCTGAACGCTAAACCCTACAACAAAGGGGTCATAGCATGTCACAGCCTACTATGCCATACGGTTGAGGGTTACAGGTTGCAAGCAATGACGGCGATGCCAGCGCGAATGCATTGATAGAAAGTTATTTTGTTCAGGGTGCTCAGACTCAGCAACCAAACGCATTCCCGAAGTAGAAAGTAAACGCGATCTCAGGGTTTGAAGTCATGAAGCCCAAACCTATTAATATAGGGGCCTGACTAATTACCAATACTATTTTGGCGGGGTTCCTTGTTACAATTATAACTATAGCATAGTATACCCCGAAACCTTATTCTAATTATTAAGGCCGCTATATTATATACATAGTCTTTAGGGGGTTAGTGGTCTTTCTGGCCCCAAAACCTTGTTCTAACTATTAAGGCATATTCGGGTTTAAGTGTAGGGCTCAGGTCTCGGCGCCTAGGCTCATTAGCCCTTGCCAATCATGCAACAACCCTAAACCCCAGACCCTAAACCCTAAGCCCTAAACCCTAGACCCTAAACCCTGGACCCTAAACCCGAGACCCTAAACCCTGGATCCTAAGGCCCTAAACCGTAAACCAACCCATTGAAGCGTGCAGACGTTAGGCTTAAGCCGGTAAGCTCAAGCCCTGCACACCCTCTTGGGCTTAAAGCTTTATACGAGCACAACAACAAGTCTTATGGGGCCTTCTCAAAAACTTACATAAAACAAGCTGTCGGAATGTGTCGAAAAGAGCCCCAAAAGAGCCGCACAATGTCTAGAAAGACATCTTTCTAATTTCCTCTTGAGCACCCTGTAACCCTCGGTCGTAAAACCCCAACAATGAAACCCTCGAACCCTGAACCCTAAACTGCCCCAAACCCCAAGCCACAAACCCTAAAGCCCTCGACAGAGGATTTGGACTGTCGCGACTTCCCGGGGCCCGACATCCTGTTTGAACTGGAGGGCGGCGTGGAAGTCAGGCAGTTGGTTCAGTTGGGAACCCCAAAAGTTGAGTTATATGGGATATCCCTATCCTAACTTTTGATTATGTGCTTTTTTGGGGGGCCCTATTCAGGGTTTGGTTTCATATAGACGTCTGGAGACTTGCGAATACTGTTCCTCAGGGTTCCTATGTTGGTTTTACTACCAACATATCCCAAAACCTTCTTCACATAATTAAGGCGGCCCCTATATCATGCGATATCCGACTCCGAATCCTAAAATCTAAAACTCCCACCCCTCCTGTAATAAACAACTTCACCGAACTCCCCCAAGCTCCGATAAAGAAGATACGAACGAAACACAGCGCCCCACAACTAAACTCTGAGCACCCATACATTTTCAAGTCCGATAACACCATACAGCTCCATATATAGCCCTGTAGAGCCTTATAAAGCCTGATCAAACTCTGCAAAATCCAAAATATTTCCACAAAGTTCTAAACGCCCTTTGAAACCCTAAAAACCCGAAAGCAAACACTTCAATCCCAAACCCTAACACCCAAGACCCCTGAACCAGCAACATGAACCCAAAAGGCGCAACATCCCTCTGCAGCCCTCTCCCGACAACACCCCACTACAAGCTCCATAAGACCCTATGAAACGCTATCTCTACTACTGTTGATGATCTAAATCCTGCAGTACCGTGGCACTACCTTAAGGACCCTAAACTACGGGAAGTTTGGTATGTTCCTTATTATGGGTACTGCAGGATTTATATGATCAACCGTATGATTCAACGCCTATGACACTTCGAGAGGCTCGGAGGCTAAACCCTAAACCCTAAACTCTAAACCCTAAACCCTAAACTCTAAGCCCTAAACTCTAAACCAAACACTAAACCCTGAGAGGCTCGGAGGCAGGGAGTACTCTCGCCCGGCGCCCATGAAGGTGCCCAATGCGAAGGCGGCCTGAGGGTTCCCCAGTAGTATGGGGGCTTGACTTGGAGTCGGGAGACTTAGTAAGGGTTTAGGGTTTAGGGTTTAGGGTTTAGGGTTTAGGGTTTAGGGTAGACGTATAAGTACTTAAAAGGGACCCTAATTAGGGTTATCGTACTTATAAGTGTACAAAATAACCATTTACTAAATCCCCCGACCCTCCAAGTAGTGGTTAGAATAGGGTTTTGGGGGTTCCTTTAAAGGGGTCCAAAGGGTTCTAAAGCGGCTGTCATAATTATAAGGGTTTTGGGGTTTTGGGGCCTTAATAATTGGAATAGGGTTCATGGGGCTATATTTTACTAGAATCATAATAAGGAGCCCCCAAAACCCCATTCTAATTATTAAGGCCCCTACATTAGTACCCTTTTGCCCTTTCTGTTCTGGGGTCTCCCTATTAAAGCCGAAAATTAAGAAACAAAACTACCCTGATTATTGACTAAACCCGAGCCCCTAAACCCCTAAACCCTAAACCCTAAACCCTAAACCCTAAACCCTAAACCCTAAACCCTAAACCCCTAAACCCCTAAACCCTGAACCCCTAAACCCCTAAAACGTGTACGGTGTGGAGAACCTGGGCTCTGGGTTTCAGGGTTTCGGCTTTGAATCCTACGGCTTCAGGCTCCGGGGGTTTAGGGTTCAGGCTTTAGGGTTTAGGGTTTAGGGTTTAGGGTTACGGTTTAGGGTTTCGGGTTTAGTTTTTAGGGTTTAGGGTTTAGGGTTTGGGGGTTTAGGGTTTGAGTTTGGGGTCTAGATTTTTGATTTAGGGTTCAGGGTTGGGGGTTT